CCCCCCCACACACACACGTCGAGACGCTTGAAGTCATGTGTTGTGTACTCGATCAGGTGCACAATCGAACTAATGAAATGAGGCCCTTTTCCTTTGCAGAGAACTACTTGATATTACGAGATATGCCACTCACCTGCCGGGTACCGAGGCCGACAATAGGAATGTCCCCGCCGGAACTGAGTCGCACCTTTGGGACGTCCAGACTGCAAACAACGTGGTTAGGGGTTACAAACACTTTCGGCTTCGATATAGGGCGTCGCGATACTTGGGGAAGGTCTGCAAAAGTGAATCAACGGGAAAAACAATTAATTTAAGCAACAAACAAAAAATCTCTGGCATTTCTCAAAGTAGTAGTCGTGAATTAAATTGCGGACGCCCTTTGGCAAACGGTCTCCGTAGTAATGCGTAACGAAACATTTCGCGCATACTGCATGTTCAAAATTTGACGATAATTGCTTCAACTGTCAAATTATGCTTGTAGAGTTTGTGGGCTCCCCCATAACACGTCTCATTTAACGGTCTTGACAGCATAAAACTAAGTTCTACAGGAAATTAAAAAGGTGGTTGACCAGCTGCCTCCCCTATATGAGCGTGATCAAGAGGCCGAAGTAGTAGGCCTATATACCAGAGGAAAAAATCGTGAACAAGAATTGGATTTGTAACATTGATTTCCGACCATTTTGGTTAGAGAAAACTCCCTCGAGCACCTAAACGGTGAAAGATAGTGTAAAACAGACACAATTTTATTTGAATTAATTATCTCATAAGCCCGCTGAAAAGCAGGAGGTGGGCTGGAAATGAACTTTTTCTCTAGACGATCCCTTCCCTTATGAGCGATACAAACTAATTTGAATCAACTACCAGCAGCTATCAGACTTCATCAGCTGGGCCTGGCCTGCCCACCGCACACATAGAAATTAGTTTCACTGAACTAACAGTAATACCCTTATACAAAAGGAAATTTCCGTTCATATAGACATGCTAGAATTATGTTTTCTTTAATGTAAAGGAGCTTTTCGTCGTTTTACAGGATGATTCTTCACCCTATGGCCATTTTTCCTTTAAAGCAATGGAAAATCACATGAATCAAGAGAAAAATTCCAGCAGAACATCAGACATGAGATCAACGGAACCGATTTCTGGGTGACGGCTCGATAAGAATGTATTATATTATTGGCACTCACCAAGCTGCAGCTGCCAAAACCGCCACCATAACGCAGCACACACTGGTGAGGGTTGAGCCGATCATCGTATCCTACAAAAGACGAGTGTGTGTGTGTGTAAGCTGTTCAGTTTGCATCGTATCCGACGTCGACGTGCCCATGGAGATAAAATGAATCTGAAAGCAGTCGGGGATCGGGGGTGGATCTGTTTATTGAGGTCTGTACATAATCGGGTGCTCCAGGCTATCTAAACCGGGCGTGAAAAAGAACAAACTCACTGATTTAACTGTTTCCATCCAGTGATATGAGAAATAATCTTGATAGTTTTGCCCGATTCGAACCTCTTAAATAGCTTGGAACTTGGAACTGATCTGATAGTTTCTCATACCTACCTGGAAGGCCGTAGAGCTACGGTAGTAGCTCGATCCATCAGCCATTGTGAAAACAGAAAACATCAGTAAGTTTCTTTTAACTCAACGATAACTGCAGCCGGTCACCTCGCCACCAAATATACACCATATTTATCCGAAGGCACAAACTCGCTGCTGCGCCGAAGTGCGACAGGCGACCGTCCCCCTTTATGTGTTCACTATGGCCAAGTGGATACGGAGCCAGCCTCTCAGTGGAGAGGTCGGTGGTTCGTCTCTGCCCACAAGCGTGTCCGGCGCGCTGTTATTTTCACCTTTTCGGACGATTCATCGTTTGGGATACATATGGTGTATTCACTGACAGTGGATTTGTGATAATAGTAATACAAAATCTTGCAATAACTCCCGCTTTGCGATTCCCATTATTTATCGCATCCAGGATGCAATAACTCGTTATTGCAAAATCTTGCAATAACTTTATATCAAAAATAACAATGAATCGCATTATTAGAGCATACCTCTGCGCGTCTCTCATCTCTCAACTTTTCTCGATTTTTGCCGAATTTCACGCACTTTTACAGATTTATACGGAATTTTACTGACATTTACCTATTTTTACGGATTCTTAAGGGTTTTGACCGATTTTGACCAGTTCTGACCGATTTTGACGGATTCTTACGGGGTTTTACCGAATTTCACGGAATTTTACTGATTTCTACGGATTTTACCGATTTTGACGGATTTTGACCGATTTTGACGGATTACACCGATTTTGACGGGTTTTGGCTGATTTTAACGAGCTTTGACCGATTTTGAACGATTTTGTACGGATTTTGACGATTTTGACCGATTTGTACTGATTTCGACCGATTTTAACGGATTTTGACCGATTATTACGGGTTTTGACCGATTTTTCCGGATGTTGAGCGATTTTTAGCGATGCTTACCGTGTCTTACTAAAATCGGAGAAAATCGCAGGTAATCAGAGAAAATTAGAGGAAGTTTGGTAAAATCAGGAGACGCGCACTACTGAAATAAATTTATTACTGCGTTATTTTTGCGATAAAAAGTTATCGCAATTAATTTTGTGATATAACAAGTTATCGCATCCTGGATGCGATGAAAAGTTATTGCTGAATTTTTGTAGTCATCATCGCATTCTCGATGACAGTGTTTCTGGTGTATAAACGACCACTTTTACCACCATAAAAAGAACGAAAGTACACCATATCTACACCGAATGCATTTGTGGTGTTACATATGGTGTATTTATCGTGCGCATATCGTATCAATTTGGTGTTCGAAAAACACAAAATTTACTCGACTTGGAGAAGACCGCAGAGAGAGGGTCAGGGTCAGCCAAGCCGAAGAAGTGCGACGTCACCAGCACACAGTGCGGGGTGGAGCCGGAGCTGAGATCAACGCAGTGTACCGGCCCTGGCAGCATGACTTAAAAAACTAATGTACCGGGTGATTCAGAGAAGACGCAGGTGCGGGCGGGTTTGCCTATCCTCGACTCGGCGGGCGCACGGGTCCCCTCCTCACCTCTCCCCAGACCT